CACTAACAATTGGAGGACATGCATAGCAAAACCACTAAAAGACAACATTTCATCTCAGTAAGGATGGCTATTATAAGAAAGACTAAAAATAGTAAGTACTGGAGAAAAAGTAGAAAAAAGAGAATCCTTGTACATTGTTTACAGGATTATAAATTAGTGCAATCTTACAAAAAGCAATATGGAGATTCCTTCAAAAACTTGAAACCAAAATGACGATATAATTCAGCCTTTTACTAATGGCATATAAATGGAATGCAAATGAAATCAGTATATAGGATTCTCTGCATACCCGGGTCTGTGTCCATTATAGCAGTATTCACAGTAGTCAAGAAATGAAAAGAAACTGAGTAAACATCAAGAGAATAATGGATGAGGAAAATGTGTGAAAGCTTGTCATGTTTTACAACATGGAAGCAAATAGAGAGTATGAAGTGATATATATCAGTCTCAGACAAGTATGATCTCACTTATAAATGTAATCTAAAAATGTTGGTGTCATTGAATTTGAGAGAATTGAGTGCTGGTTACCAGAGGCTAGAGAGAGTAATAGACAGGGACCAGAATGGGAATGCATGATTAATGAGCACTAATTGATAGGAGAAGCATTGTGGTATTTGATTGTGTAGTAGAGTAAATGCAGACTGAAATTATGTATAACATATTTCAAAGAAGTCACAAGAAAAATATTTGTAATTTTCTGATACATTACAAACCTATGTTAAAACATTATTTGACACCCATAAATACAGATGTATGTTTAACTGTTAGATAAATAATAAAATAATTTTGATGAATTACAATAGTTTTGATTTCTCAAGTGTAAATTTGACTTGATCAGTACTATAATACCCATTATTACAGGCAAAAAACCTATAATTTTGGCACTGTGGAGGAGGATCAGAAGTTTGAAACCAAACTTATCTATATTGTTGGCTGTTTGTAAAACAAATTAAAAAAAGAGTATCAGTATACAGATGTAGAGAGAGACATAATTGGGTAAAAACTCAGTTTCATTATATCATTTTCACTTTGGAACCTTCAGTATGGCTTATTATAATGAAAGTGTGCCAGAGTTTGTGATAGCTATGCAATTAGCCCATGTCATGACATAGTGCTTTTTTACTTATTTAAAATTTCCTTCATCCCTGGCTTTAGGTACTCAGTTTTAAAAGGAATTATTTACCCCAGATACATATTCAGAACCTTTATGAATCAATATGTCACATGGCTTCTGTGACAATTAGCAATGAAAATCCATTGTTATAGTACCATATGATAGTTACAGAATTATACTTTTTCCCTTACATATTCACTATTTAGTTACTAAACTGCTGCCCAATTAACTTCTTGTTCAACAGCAGGTGAAGATAGTTCTATGATACAGAACTTAAGCATCAAGGAGGTATAATTTAGTTGCTCTTATTTATTGTTCTTGTTGATGTAATTTTCTAAAGAAGGAAGTATACTTTTAACATCATCATTCTTTTTCAAATAGTGTAATCCTGAATTTTTAACTTTGATATCTGATCATTTCCATTTTCTGCACTCTGAATGGCAACACGTATACATCTTCTGCCCAGGTTGCAGATTTCATAAAAAGTGGAAAATATTAGGAAAGATTGAAAAACCAGAAGTTACACAGTGTGTCTCCTACAGGATGTATAGGACTTTAACATTCAGATGGCATAGTTTATGACAAAAAACATAATGAGAACAATACTAAAGAGTTTGACAGGAATCTTCTTGTGAAGATTTTAAGGAAATTCAGCTGTTTTAAAATAGATATTTTGTTGCAATTGGAACAAGAGTGTGACTCAGGATTCTGAACAAAAACTGTGAGTAAATACAAATATTTTAGTTCTCTTGAATTAGACATCAGATCTCAAGGCTTATTTGATAGTTGCATTCATTGAAACCTGTTATGTAGGCACAGTGTTGTAAATAAACTAAAGAAAACATATTTTTACTATAAAACAGAACCGAAAATAAAACCTCAATGATTCAATTTGCTGAGTTATTTTTTGATCCTTACTATGTGTTCAGTGTTTAGAAATGACACAGAATATAATAAACTTGCAAAGGGTGTTATGAAGGAGAAAAGTCTTGAAAAGGAGTAGAATGCAGCGTGGCACTTTCTTGTTACAGTACGTTTGTCATGGATTGCTGTAATTGTAGATATAATCTTTTTGAACATGTATCCAGATGACTTCCTTTGAGAAGGAAAGATCCTTTCCTCCTGCCACTCAGCACACCTTCTGGCAACTCTCTGGAGGGCAGCACTGCCATTGACACAACAACTTGATTTCTTGTCAAAATATTTTTTAACATCTGGCTCCAAAATATTTTTGATGACAATAAGCATGTCTACGTCCTCTGCTGATTAAGCTTGAAAATTCAATAAGTGTTTGGTACACTGAGACTGAGCCGTTTCATATTGAGCAGCTGTCAAATGATTTGCTGAATACTCCTGCTCAATTCACCACAGTGAATTGATGGAATTCTTCCAGCTTCAGGACATACGCAGAGTGAAGGGAATTCCATCAAGCACTATGCAGATGTTCCTGCTCGCTCTCCCTCTTCAGCTTGTATGCTTAGACTGACAAACTGAGCAAAAGAAATGTAATGTTTCCATTGTCCTTTATGATTCAATAGCATTAACTCAAAGTTAATACTTAATATATTAATGATTTTATTTAGAAATATATGTCATTTGGGTCTTCAGGTAATATCAGCTAGAGAGTACATGACTTACAGCATTAGCACTGTACATGAACCATGTTTATTTGAAATATTGTCCTTTGGAAATTTTTCTAATTTAGTCATAGTTTGCATAAAGAGGCCATAGATTTTAAGGCACTTTCTTATGTAGTATATTGCTATGGAGTGCTCAAAATTACTGTTCTTGTATTTTATGTTCTGTGCCTAAATCATTGTCCCTTGACTTTGCAAAAGTTCTCCTCTGCGTATTTTGAAATGGTTTTCAAATGCATCATTATAATGGGAATGCAATAGCAGATCATGAAATAACAAACACATCAGCACCTGATATAATTCCACATTAGTAAAGTATTTTAATTTGAAATTAAAAGTTCTGATCAAGGAGGAAGCATAAAATTTTACTTCATGTTAAATAGTAGAGGTGATAAACATTACCAGTGAAATCTACCTGATGACTTTATATCCATACTCAGGTACTAAGGATCCGAGTGTAACTGACTATGACTAGTAATCATCAGATCCATAGAGATTAAAGACACATTGCAAACATCTAAGTGTTAGTACCATTAAAAATGTAGGAAACAGCATATTTTAAAATGAAATGAGGATCTTCTTTAAAGGGTAAAAACTCATTCAATTTTATATCTTACAGGTTTATACTGAGTTCAATATTGTATAACTGTATGAATTCAACTGTGAAACTAAAAGTTTACAGTCACTTTTGAAAAAGATGTATCCTTGCTCTAGAGTGTGTTACTGAATATGTTAAAGCTGTAATGAAATGCTTCTTCTAAAAAAATGAATATATTACAAAGAAAAATAGAAATAAATTAAATAAAAAAGTTCTAATCAAGTACTAGCCCCTTTATTCTAAGAAATAATGAAAGAACCTGGTGTGTACAGTGTCGCTAGACTTTTATATGTCAAATCCTGTATATATTATTATCTTAACAAAATTGAAAACTTGAGAGGAAAATCCTATTTCAAGTTGATTTTGTCACCTAGGTTTGCCCATCTTCCTTCTTGATTTCCTGACCATCTGTCCTGCTTCTTCTGTCTCATTTTAAAATGTGGTCTCTGTCCAGGCAGAATTGGGTTGGATATGATCAAGTTACATTTTAAACATGCAGAAATTTGTCAAAGAAAAAAAGGATTTTAATCATCTTCTGTTGCATTTCATTTTAGTACCACGTACTGCCTTTTAGTGTTTGTGTATGTTTTCTTACTGTGTAGATTTTGGCCGGTCTTTTTGAAACTTATCTTTTAAAAAATATTTTATTATTTTTATTTTAGTGTATGAGTATATTGCCTGCACGTGTGTAAGTAAGTGCACTCCAATGTCCTCGGAGGTCAGAAGAAGGCGCTGGATTTTCGTGGAACTGGAGTTAGGATGATTGTTAGCCACCATGTGGGTGCTGGGACTCAAACCCAGATCCTCTGCAAGAACAGTCAGTGCTCTTAACCACTGACCCATCTCTCCAGCCCTTGAAACTTATCTTAAATCAACTAACCAGTATTGAACAGACCTCCTGGCCTCATCTTATATTTACAATCTTACACTCCCCCCCCCCTTCTGCATTGTTCCCTGAGCCTTGGGAGGCAGAAGTTTGAAATAACTGTCTTATTCAGGGACAAGGACTCTGCAGTCTCTCCTATTCTCTGCACACTGACCAGCTGCAGGTCTCTGTGTTAATCACTATATGCTGCAAGAGCAAATGGGTAAGAAACCCCAACCCTAGCACAGGAACTATTAGCTACTGGGCCGGGGAGAGTGCGGATAAATAATTACCCCTTTTTGTAAATATATATTTTATTTATTTTTTGTTTTATGTGTATGAGTCTGTTGCTTGTATCATGCAATGCCTGTGGATGTCAGAAGAGTGCATCAGATACCCTGGAACTGGAGTTACAGTTTATAGTTGAGATGTGGGTGCTGGAAACTGAGCCCGGATCCTCTGAAAGAATGGTTAGTGCTTTTAATCGCTGAGCCATCTCTCCAGCCCAGAGTCTGTCTTCTTTAAGGGTGTGATTTTGGCTAAGTTATTCCTGCTCCAGTGGAAGGACCCACAGTGGAGGGCATCTGGGTAGACAAATTTGACTCATATGAAATTGGCTAGGGGTAGTAAGGGAGTGCAGATAAGGTAAGGGTCTAAATATGATTAATATATATGAAATTCACAAAACTTCAATAAAAACTTTAAAAACATTTCAAATTTTGTAACTTTATTGAATCTTCAAACCACATAAGGCACATTAGTGCTAAACAAAATGTGAGAGTGGGGAACTTCATATATGAAAACATTAATGAGCAACTTTCCACGCTTCCCCATCCATTTTTTCTCCCCCTTATCATCTTACAAGCTCTCTAGTTTAGATATGGAGGCAGGTGCATTGCTCTAGAGTTATAGTGGAAAAAATAAGGCAACAGTGGAGGACAAAATCCCAGGGGAGAAGCCAAAACAGTAGGCATTGCTGGAAAAGGACTAAACGCTGGTGGTTGAGGAGGCATGAAGCAATGCGCAGTAGAGCAATTTAAGCCTGGAATACCCGACAGAGAGAGAGGCCTCTGCTGCCAATTATCCATAGGGTGCTGTGGACCTCCCAGTGGGAAAGAAACACGAGCCAAGCTGCCCTTGTATGCCATTCTGGCTTTTCCCGGAGTCACCTCCATCATTATCCCAGATCTAAGAGTGGGAACATATGGAGGGCCTCGTGGTTGTGGGCCCCTAGGTTGAAAGAACCCTTGGCCTCGAGTTGGAGCCACATATGGCTTTGTGTTATTTCCACCTCTCTCAATAAACCCACCATTGACTCTTGGGCCCCCAACCATCAGGGTCATCGCGCTGCCAGAGATTTCCTGGGACATATTAATAGAATCATGTCCCTTCTGGCTCTGGCTTTCCAGGCCCTCAGAGATGTTTACTTCTGCTGTTGCTAAGGACTCTTCTTTCACAGCAGGTGTTAGTATAATAGGCTGTCTCATAGCTCTTGGATTTTCAGGAATGCGGGATCTTGGTCTCAGCATACTGAAGGGAGGTCTCAGGGGGACACAAGGGCGACCCCAGCTCTCAGCATCATCCTCATCATCCTTCAGCACAGAGCTAGGACAACGGAGAGGCTCCTTGCTTCCATTGTTCACGGACACCATTGTGGATGAGGGGCTGTGCCCTCCAATCCTGGGAAAAACAGAAGTGAAAAAGTTAAGCAAAATCGAAATACATTACACAGAACATATTTCAAATATGAGATTTGTCTGCAACATATCAGAGAATAAAGGAGTACAGTCCCATCTACTACATGTAGTCAAGCAAATACTTCCTTAGCCTACTGACCCCTCCCTAGAGATCCTTTTAGCACCAGATTTTGTGATCACCGATTATGGTTGCCCTGTGTGCCTATTCTATTCTTTATCTGTCACAGGCAGCAAACAGTCACTATGACCTAGTTGGCTTGCTAGTAGACAGAAAATAGCAGGTCTTTCAAGCCTTTGTAAGATTTGTTACCCACTAAGCCTAGTGTTCATATTTTTGCAGGAGCATTCTGTAAAGTCTCTGAGGAAAAGAAGTGTTTTTTTCCCCTTCTTCACAGAAGTCAAAGAAAGTTTAGAAACACTAAACATTCTAGTTTCTCTTTACCAAGCATCAAATATTCAACTTAATTTTTTCAAATTTCCTTTTCATTTTATCTATATAAGAAACAGAGTAATATTTTTTTTTATCTTTTAACCCTACTGTTTGGGGATTTGTAACTTTAATTTTAACATTACACTTAAAATCTTTAAGTGATTTTTACGCTTAAGCCCAGTACTCTTGTTATCTACAGTTATGTTCTTTAATTTTTGACTGTGATCCCCAGCAACAACCCTTTCAACCCACTCATCTCTTCCTATTAACAAAGCAAAGGAATTCAAGAAAGATTTAGCTTTAAAATTTCAACTGAACTGTACTCAGTTTTGTACTTACACATTTTCAGTACAAGCCATGGAGTAAAATAATCAGGATCACCTTCATGAAATCTTAGAGCAAACCAGCTGAACACCCACACGGTCCAATTCCTCTGGAGAAGTGATTCTTGCTCCTGACTACTCACAGAGTCTTGGCAACTGAAATGAAGTCACAGACCAACTGCTTTATTCCACACTGGATTCTATTAGTGAGGTCATTAGTTGCTAAGCAAAGAGGTGGGGGGAGGCAACAAGGAGTGGGAAGGGATAAATCTGTAACACTCCTTTGAAGCTAAATGTGGAATTGTTTTCCTCAAAGTAATAGATGAATAGAAAGACATTTCCTAAATCAACTCCAATGCAGACCAATTGTAAATACAAATCTTTTTTAAAGAATTTAAAAGTAACAGAGGCACAATCTTTTGTTAAGAACTATTTCTGAAAAATATTTATTGAAGGAATTTATCAAGTCTCCTGCTCGATTTGGAAATACAGAATCTATTTAATTTTATTGTGCTCATTGCTTCGTCTTCTAATTTGAGCTTCTTGTTTTGGGGTTCATACTACTATTGTGGTGAGAAATAGAGCTTAAGGAGTTAAATTGTCAGTCTGGGAGGATCCAAGAAAAACAGCACTATAAAAACACCCCTAAAATTATTTTGGATTTTGATTTTGTGTAATCTGCTGTTATTTCCTTGATATTGATTTCTGGTTTATTAGCTCTATGTGTAAGTGTGCTTGCATTTGTATATGTGTGACTGTTCATTTACTGTAGTAGAACTGCAGAAATTTGAAAAAGTGGAGGAGGAATATAAGCCATAAGAAGTGTCATAAATTTGTGAATATTTGATCAAATTTTGCTTTGTACCTCTTTTACTGGAGGTACTTTTAGTTCTTCTGGCATAAATTTTAACTGTCTCTCCTACTTTAACAAAGTGTACTTTTCTAGTTTGTTTTCTGCCGTTAATACAGATTAATTGCCGTGAAACTACAGTCACAGCCCCTTAACTAAGATTGCTAATGCCTTGCAGAACAAGTCCATAAACTTGAATCAATCCTTCAGCTGTATCTAAAATTCATGGTTTGTAAATAGACCTTGAAATTTATCTTTTTTAACACAATACAGTATATATTGCTATAATTCCTCAATGGTACATACTTTATTTTTCTCTTAAGACAAAATAAAAGACATTCACATTTCATGTGTTTTGATTTGTATGTAGTTTGTGGAAAAATAAGGGAATGATACAAGTGCAAAAGAATACTGCAGTGAAGGAACATATTTCATCACAGAAATGACCTTTTGGGTCACTCAGGCCACACCTTCATACCAGGGTGCCTTGTATCTTTCTATATATACTGCTGGATGTCTTTCATTCTGAAAAATGGAAGTCACATATTCCCAACACATTTTCCAGAGGAACATGTTCACTTAACCAGCATGGTTCAATACTAAGATGTTTTAAGTCCCCAGCTTCAGTTCATACTAGATCTATATATTATATTCCTTTTCATGATGTAAAAATAACTTATCACTAACAATATAATCGTGTTAAAAATTTTAACTTCTTTTAGTAATTACCATGCAGAGGAAAATGCAACTTCTATTAATGGCTACTAATTCTTCTTTGTAGTAAATAGTAACTATGAACTAATTCAAGACTGGCATAAAAAACTAACAAAATTAGTCACATGTTATAAAGTAACAAAGGAAATTCACACTGATGATCTGTATTTGTGGGCTAAAATACTTGCCACAAAGTACATGTGCCATTGCAGCCTGTGGGAGATTTAACATATAACTGATATATTTGGGCAAAGGTGCAAAAGATATTCTCTGACCACATGTGAATGTAAGAATGAAAAGACAAGTTTGAAACTTTGTAGTTCAGAGTTTTGATACAAACTAGAGATTTTATTTGACACAGAAAGAAGCAGAAATAGCTTCTTGGATGATCTAGGGATAGATATCAATCAGATAATCAATAAAGTTTTGCATATAATATTGGAAGCCAATAAAACCTTAATATTAAATACAAAACTAAAATAATCTGCAACCTATATTTAGACAAAGGAAAAACAAAAGCAAAATTATCAGCCTAAAAAAATCCATCATTTTAGGTTTGAAAAAAGTAATAACTTTATACTTCATATATTATTTGTTTGAATGGTTTCTGTGTAAAGGGGCAAATGAGTACTAGAAACTTATTATTTGCCAAAACATGGCTTTGCTGGGCAAGAAACTATGCTATAAAAGACATTTTTACCCATGACCTTCTTCTCATGCCAATTTTCGAGATATCAATCTTATTTCACAAAAAAATTCATAATTATGTTGAAATGCTAAGGGAGGACAATGCAAGTGCATGCTTGCCTTGGCACAGCAATTACAGTCATTAAATGTCTTTTTTCTGCCAAACTCCTGCCTTTATGTGTATTACTTTCAAAATTTTTGCATTTGTGCAAGTGCTAGCAGATTATTATTTAAAATATGCTTCATCTCTTTTACTTCATGAAGTATTTCAGGAGATGGACACAGGCATAATGGTCAATTTCTCTGTTTCAGTAAGGCTAATAAGGAGGTGATGAGAAGATTGTCATGTTGATCTCTTAGGAGACAGTTGTCAGAAAATTCTGTCCATTAACTCATCCTTAAAAATTTAGCCATGCCTGTAGAAAGCCTTCTAAGTTTAGCATTATAAAAAGTACTTCTAGAATCTAGATCAGTTATTTTTAGGGGTCTGTAGCTACTTAATTCAGCACATTAAAGCATAGAATTCATGAAAGCATGACATTAAACTAGAATGGGTCGTGCACTATTACTCTCCTGTGTAACTATGGGTAATAATTGTGTCCAGTCTGCTGCCAGCTGTCCTGCTAATTCTGTGTGATGAGAGATGAGGACAAACAGGTGAGAATAGGATGCTCAACACCACTAAAGTGAAAGCAACTTTAAATATATTATATATATATATTATATCACTGAATCTAGTATGAAGTTCAATCAATTATTATTTCTTTCTTGAGTGCTTTAATTCAGATTTAAATATATTTGTATATTATACATACAGACACATATGATGCATAAATTAGAAGCTATGAGAAATTCATTCAAAATATATAACTACTGATTCTTAGTCTCCTGTAAATACACATTGGAAATTAAATAGCAGCAGAGTAAGTCAGATGATAATACAAGAATAAAGTTAAATATTTTCAAGCACAAGGTATTTGTATATCTATCAATCATCTTTCTATAGATCTCTCTGTCTATCTACCTGTCTGTCTATCAACCTATCTAGTTGTCATTAAAACTTTAAGGCAATTGCTGCCAGTATACCCATTTTCTTGATGGGATAAGAGAGTGCTGGAAACATGAAATATGAATTTTCCATGATCCTACCTATACTAAATGGCAGACAATATTCAGAAACACTCTGTTGGACACCTCATATATTTCTTCCATTTAATCACATGGACTCCTAATTACAGCTCTGGTAAATTACATGGGTGTTTCAGATCAATATATGTGTAATGGATTGTGGATTAGCTGATTTAATACATGGGTGCATTGCTATTCAACCAGAGGTAATTCTGCAAGGAAGAAATGATCCAAACTGTAATCCTCACATCTAAAAACTCCTGAATATGTGGAGAGGTAGAAAGTGACTGAAGCATTAAACTTCTTGTTACATTCCAAAAAGATGATGAGAATTGAAAACTGCCATGAAAAACTGGATTGATGACAGACGAAAGGACTTGTTTATAGGATGACATTGAGCAAGTCTTCCTGAGGAATAAGCAGGTATATGAATCCATTATTACCAATAAAAAGATTAAGTTAATTATTCTGAGAAAAATGGCAAATTTCAGTGATGTTAGGAGGTCATCAGTGCTTACATAGTGACTGTCACAAACAAAATACATTAAAATTATTTTTATTATTTGAAAATTTCATACATGCACTGAGTGTGTTATGATCAAATCATTCGCAAGATCACTCTTCTCCAATTGTTCACTGAAAATTTTTAAAGATTGAAATAGTGTTTACCTCTTGAGCTTTAGATTTAGAAGATGGTACTGGGAGGACCAAGTTCACACACATGGTTAGATCACCCAGATGCAAGAATTATAGTAACAGCGAGGAAACAGTTGTGTACATGTGTGTGTGTGTGTGTGTGTGTGTGTGTGTGTGTGTGTGTGTGTGTTTTGGATTGAATTGGAATTCTCAAGTCATTTATCTGATGCATTAATGATAAATCTAAAGAATACATTTATAATTTGAAGAAATTAATTTAAAAATAATGCATTCTTTGATCTTTTATGGTATATTTTATAAATTAAGATAAAACTACAGAGTAATATGTAAAGTGAAGAAAATTAATGAAAATAGATACTGCTTAAGGCAGTCACTCATACCATAAATTCATTTTGGTATCATATAGAAGGGCTTAGGTAGAGATACAGACTTAGAAAGGTCGGTGTAAAATTAGAATTAATTCTGGGCAAAGTAGTTAAATGCATTCTTAATTTAATGAGCATTTGATTGGAAAAACAAAAATGATTTTACATTAATTTCTTGTTGCTTATACCTAAGATATCCAAATTTGGGCAAATATATTTTATTTATTGTACTGAAGGACATCTGGATACACTAAATTAACTCAATAGGCCTCAAAATAAATGACAGAATGCATGAAATCTGGTGAAGGAGGGGCTATGGGAGGGGAAGATGGGGAAGTGAGTACAAAGATGATTAAGATATTTTTATGAAATACACAAAAAATCAGTAATTTTTAAAAGAAACAATGGAATAAACACATAGGGGATAAAAGGAATCAGTGTGTGAATTTATTTAGCTAGTTGGCTCTAGACTCAGAAGAGCATAGACATGGGTTTCTATCATAGTTTTATCAATTACCAACTGTGTAATGTTTGACACATTTCTTAACTTCTATAAACTTTATTTGATTATCTATAAAGTAGTATCATACATAAAATGATATTAACTAATAAACTATATGTTAAAGGGCCCTGCTACATAGTAAGTGCTTAAAATAATATCCTTTTCCGTGTATATGTTAATGAAGCTTTGTTTATGTGGA